CTATTTTAGGGCGACACCGGCAGGAAGCCCTCACTATGGCTTTTGGGCTCGTTTTGACTCGGGTGCCAGTGGAAAGAACTGCAGTGGTAACATAGGTGCCACCAGGTCTGAAAATGTCAGCCGGGAGGTTAACAGCTCAGGTGGACCGAGAGTCAGGAGCAGGACAGTGACTGTATGACAGCACTTTGGCCCGGTCCATATCCCCCGTGCTGCAAAGAGCTGCTCTGCTCTGATTGGAGGATCCTAAGTAACCAGGTGTGATCTGCTACCTAAGATGCATCCTTCAAATCTGTTTGCACAAATTTCCTCTGCAGCAACTGGTAAAACCCAGGAACTACATTAGTGATAGAAGGATCACAGAGCAACCCAAAGCCTGACTGACCCCACTGATGCTGAACAGATGCCCCCCCGCCCGGTAGGTGGACTGTTACAGAATGTGGGTCAAGCTCACATACCTGAAAAGAAGTGAATCACAGGATTCTGCCCGGAGTAAGGTTCAAGAGTGGGTACCTTCCAGATTTACTGTGGCTTCATAAAGACACGGGGAAAACCATGAATAGGACCCACAGGGTGCAGATTACCTGCCTGTGCTCATAATTCTCATCATAAAGGCTTACTGTGGTTTTTATGACAGATCTGCAATGCAGAACAGGTCAAATATGAATTTGCACATAATGCAGTGAACGTTCTGCCACTGGCACCAGCAAACACAGCGCCACCTTGCCGTTTTAGCGTGCGTGTACAGCAGCAGAGCTACAGCATCGTTACGCACCCCACACCAGCTTCGTGCATTTCGGCACGCACCGCGGCATATATATATATATATATATACACACACACACACACACACACACACACTTTCGCAGCTGGGCGTCCCTGCTCTGTTTATCACCCGCACGCCACGGCCAGGTCGGGCTCCGCCCCACATGCAGCAGGGTGTCCACCTTATTTTACAGCCTGCTGCCCGGTAGTGTATTAACGTGCACCTGCGCTGTCCGCTGTCACTGCGGGCGGACACATGCTCGTACATTTTCACTCTTCGGTTTTCCCGCTGATCCCCCCTTTTTTGTTTACTGCTACCTTGTAATTCAGTGCATTTGTACGTTATAAATGTGAATTTGATTGACATCCTCACATGGTGTGGTCCAGGTGACAGAAAACATCATGGAGTACACCTATTGTTAATGATAATATGAATGGGATTCAAGATGACTATATTGTTATTATATGAACTATATATAGCATTAACGAAAGGCAACTGTATATATTCAACGCATATTCATTGTTCATATTTATTGTACTGGGCATTTCTGCAGGTTACATTTTCATTTTAGCCTCATTTCGGCCCCATCCGGCTCCGTTCAGCCCCATCGGAGCCGCGGATTAAGTGTTGGGGAATGACCGCTGATCCCCTCCGGCTCCCGTGTCACCTCGCCGTCTGTCTCCCCTGCCAGACTGACTAAACATCTGCACCGTGTTTACGGGGTAATGCCCACCGGCGGCAGGACAATGTCTCGGTATGTGGGTCTCTACCGGGGTATTTCCACGGCGAGC